TTGGATTAAAAAATTTTTTGTTGAAAAAGTTTTGATGATTTTTACTGTTGTAATTGATTCTATTGAAAAAAAAAAGAAGCTTAACATAACTCATCTTTATGCAGTTGTTTTAACCGATTTTGATCCAAAAAAATTTCTTGCTCATCACTTGTTTATTTTCCTAAACGTCCAATTCAGGCAAAAACCTCCACGATTGAAAAAAGTAAAATAAATAAGTTTTTCTTTTTTTTGCTGATAACAACCTTATCAGAATGCAGCAGAAACATTTTTTTTTATATGATTCTACACAATTATTGGTATTTGACAACCAGGAAGTGCTTAAATAGTAAAAACCAAAAATTCAACAATATCACCGATGATGAACATCCCGTATTTTGCAGCCATTCTATTATGCGGTATACCAGTTCATTGTCGTCACAACTACATGACTCAGTTGATGCAACGAGAACCTCCAAGTCACTGCGCAGACATTGATTATGGTCATTCATTGGCCTGTATAGAAGAAAGTACAGATTTCTTTTTTTTTTCAATGCCTTTTATTCCCTTCAGCTCAGATCTCTTCACCTTTCCAAGTTTACTGTGATGAAGCCATATAAATAACAGATTTTTTCAAATTATCTTTCAAAAGCTGCTGTACAGCAGTAACAAGTTGTTCCGTCTCCTCTATTCACCTCAAATCATAAATCATTTCAAACCGTTTTTGATGTTGTAATTTATTTTTCTTCTTTTTTTTTTTCCCTTTTTAGACTTGAAACCCGCTCTTAAATGCAAATCTACAAGTGCTGCAGCTACAGAAATATGCTGTAAAAATAACAATGCAAGTCGGTATTGCTATGAAGCATGTTTCTCGGTTACTCAAGCACTTTTGATGGACGTTAAAGCCAAATTAACGCAACTACAATATCTGTGTGATAAAAGCTATGGACCAGATGCAGTAAGAAAATTACTTAATTTAGCACTGGATAGTATTTATCACTTTTATCAAATACTGCTTTTAATGTTCAAGTAGAATGAGTTGCAAATGCTAATCGCTAAGTATATTTATTGGCCATAACAGATTACTAAACCGCCAGAAATAAGTGAATTAGTCTTCATAACATATGGCTCATGAAGCAAATAAAATTCAACACTTTTAACAAAGACAGAACACCTGTAGAAAAGTGAGTTAATCGGTAAAAAGTTGGTATTCTTCAAGTGGTAAAACTGAAAGATGTAAGTTAATCGCCTCAGAAAATTCTACAAATTTGCTGTGTATTGATATAACTTTTTTCTTCAGTAACTAAAAATTTCTATGAAAAGTTATATGAATACTTTTGACTTAATATTATCCGAAGTTCTAACGCGATACCCCCTTTAAACAACTTACCAACATTCGTTTTCATTTACTGTATTATCGGCAGAGTTCTCACTTCACTATTGTTGTCATTTTTTCAAGACTGTTCTTATGTTTTCAACACTTTAAAGAGACATCGGGTGTGGGTACCAGCTTTATTAGTTATCGCTAGCTGGCGTCTGAAGTAAACATCATCAATGATTCAAGGAACGTTGTAGGAGGGACAGGAATCATACGAAAACAGATGGCTAAATTTGTGAAGTGACTAAAAAAAACTACATTCCTCTATGAAGTAAATTTTCCATCTTGGTCAACCTAAAGAAGCCTCGTCAGACATTCATGCTTCAACGTGATAGAATAAACTATCACAAGGATATTTCAAAACTTGCCCTTTGTTTAAAAAATATGTTAACCGGAGAAGCGAAAATTTCTCCACTCTAACGTATCCAAAGATGTTCGGATCCTGTTTCTAAAGGTAGCTCCTACCGCGACGCGGTATCTCATTACTTACTTCTACTCGTGACTTCGCAACTCCAGTCCTCACCATGCAATTTGAACTAAGGAGAATCTAGATCTAAAATAAACAAAAATCTAGCAAAAACCAAGCGAAAAAACCCTAAAAAATCAACAGCGAAACGATGAGAGTCCCCAACCTAACTCTCACCAAAAATCTCGGCAGCAGTCAAGCCCAACTAAGCTCCCAAACCTCCTAAAAAGGCGAAAAAATTATATCAAGTTATGCATGCTCACCTCACAACTCTCTTTTTACCCTCTAAAAACTCCAAGTGTTGAAAAAGACAACCGATAAAAACATTTATAATTTTTGCAGGAAGTTCTCGAGTGTATTAAAATCTCTTTTAATGTTGGAAACAACTAGTGGTGGCCCCGACCGAAAGATGTCAAGCTGTGCAACCCTCCGGAAGCATAACGACTGTCCCGTTTGTGAAACAATCAGAAGGCCTTCTAAAACCTTTTCAAGCTATAGTTCATGCTGTTTATTAGACTGTAGAAATTTTTAAAATTTTTACTGGCACAGTGCCGCGATAAGATCAAAAAACTTTAATCCAGAAGCGTAAAACTGATCGCAAACCGAATAAAGTCAGCAAACAGTTCAGGAGCAAACCTCGCTCAGTCAGCACTTTAAATGATAGTAACTTGACCAAATTATATATCAATCAAGTTCAAATGTAGAACTTAAAATAACCAGTTCACTTACCTCAACCTTGCAAAAAAGTTCGACAAAACAATTAAAAAAAGTTATCCACAGAGATCGACAAATCACAACAATTTTTAAACAATCTAGCAGACAACAAACAAATTACAGAATAATACCAATCAAGAGCAACAGAACCCCGAAAGAAATTTGTGAATCACTCCAGATGGTAATAAAAAGCAGAAAAAAGCTCCAAAAATACTTTTTCTTCTCTAGACACAAAAGAAACATCTGGGTCATACGAAAACACCAAAACATCTAAAAGCGAAAACAAGAGAAAGGAATAGGGGAACAGAATGCGAACAAAAAACCGCCTGAACAATGTTCTGTAAAAAGCAAGCCATTAAGCAACTACAGATAACGAAACTCAATTTAAAACAATTAAAATCTATAAAATTATATTTTGTGGAAGTATTAAGGAGGAGAATTATCCTCGAAAACTCCATCGTCCTCCCCAAGGTAAAAACTTTGACAATTAGGTTTTACCATATAACCAGTTTTTTGACAATGCCTGGAGACAACAGACAAAAATTTTGACTGGTGACCCTACAAAACCGATATTGTAAGTATAAAAGATATCAGTAGCCTAAATCACTTTCTAGATAAAATAACTTTCATTCTTCTATTAATGCTCATCCTTTAAAGTTTCTTCCAAAAACGTTAAAGAAGTCACGCAGTTGTCATAAGTCAGTCAATGAATAAATCCCGGTCCGTAACATTTAAACTACAGCGCTTACTAAGTAATGAAACGACTGTTTTTGAATTCAGAAAAATGAGCAAATACAAACCCATAATGACAGACTATAAATTCGTAATACAGTTCCTCGCACAGAAATTATAAAGAACAGCGAAAACGTCGAATTCTCCAGTAGGAGGAAAAAAAACTGACAGGTGTGATGGAACAAGACTAGCTGCCGATACCAAAGTATCAAAGGATAACCTAACAGAGAGACCCAATCATTATAAAAATCTGCGTATATTTTATGCCCTTGCATCACCGAAAATGAAGTTTAGCATCCGATCGATCACAAAACATGCCACTAGATCTATGCCAACGCATACTACCAAAGCATTGCGGAACTAAATTTAAAGAATTATTATACTGAAAGATAATTAAAAAAACTACCACAGAAAAAAGCATGATCATGTCGTTTGAAGCAGCGGGTTTTGTAAAACTAAAAGTCAAAAAGAAAAAAGAAAAGAATGAAAAATAGACATAGCAATTCCAAAAAAGACCCAAAAGTCTACCTGTGGCACAAACTCCACTAACTCAAACTTAGTGGTTAGGTCTGGCGACATTCCAGAAGCAAGAAGAAAAACTGCTGCACCAGAAAAGAATAAGCTATAGAGCAGTGGTTTGTTTTCAAAAAGACTCTCCATAAAGGGCCTACCCTAAAAAATAATTAATCTTTCAACGAAGAAACAGTACGAAAATCTCCATAACGAACAAACTATCTCATGAACGAACCCTATAGTTCACCGCAAATGTAGACACTTGCAAAGCCATGGACATCACGTAAACTGCAGAATTTAATACGTTCGGCTTGAATTCAGCGTCCAAATCAACCTTCTCTCTAAAAATATAAAAAATAGTTGAGTCACAGCGACAGGTTGAAAAATATTTATGACTCTTCAGTATTAAATGCATAACCAAAAAACTTTCAGAAAAGGCAAACAGAATAGGACAATAATTGTCGATTTTGACTCCAAACATGAATGTTATTGACCTTGGCTCAATTATATGGGCCTGTTGAACAATATAAATTAAGCATCCGAAATGAATTGCAAACTGAAGAGCAACTGTGAAAAGCGTATAAACATTAAATATATTTGGAACTGGACGCTGATGAGCCAAAGTTTTCAGAGGCTAAAATACAAGAGTTTCATCTGAACAGTTGGAAGGTTTTTGTGAAAAAGCAACCGCAATAGACAACAAAGTTAAGGAAAAGATTTAAGAACCATAGTCAGCCAGAAAAATGCTCTAAGAAAGACCCGAATAAAAAACCAACTTACTCGTGAACGCGAAATAAACAAGAAACAAGCAGCCAGTAAAAGTCCCTGAATTGTGGCTTGTGAGTCTGAGAACTTAATCCCATCCAAATAAAGAACACTTTGACTGTAAGCCAGAACTAAAGCGTTAAGAGCCAAAATCTTAAACATTTGAAGAGTAGTGACCAAAGTACACCTTCCCTGCTTAATGACGTGGCAGACTGCAAAATAAAGAGTAGAAACATAAGATAGCAACGGAAGATTAAAACTGAAAATAAGTAAAAAATGCTCACTACCTTATCTTGATTAATAACTCTTACTTGACTGAATCGAAGTGTATTTTGACGTGAATGGAGCTGCAATTGAGGCATCGCCAAGTCTTACCACCTGAGCTTTTTCTTCTTCCTCTATTTCTTTCATCATTTGTTCAAGGCGTTTAGATGCTGCATTAATATGCCTAAAGCAATAATATGTTACTATTAGCTTCAAATTCTAGATGCATCAAAC